CTGTTCTGGAGATTTCGAGAACTATCTGGGTTACCTGGACAAAACCATATAAGCGACGAGGAGAACCAGACAGGGGAGTGAAGTGACAGCAGCGTCGGAGTGCAGAAGAGGTTAAACTCCAGGAGTCGGAAGAGCGAGTTTTCCGCCTGTTATTGTTATTGTTTGTGAAGTTGACGGTGATTTTGAAGTTAGTTTGTTCCTGTTCCGTAGTTAAAGTGATACCGAGTTGAATAAAAGTTGGAAGCAGAAGAAAGAGTTTGATACTCGGCCATCCACGGTACAGTATTATTATAAAACGTTTGCAATCTAAACAATTTGTTATAAACCACTCATGGCAAATTGTAACTTGATTTGAACAAAATGATCAAAATAAATTATTTTTTGGCCATGCTGCTAATCTATCAGTAAGTTTCTACAACAGATAACATTGCATTCAATGAAATTGCTTTATTAACTGCTAAAAGTTTCAATAAGCTGAATAATGATGCAAACAAATATTTATCCGGTTGTTTCTTTTTCTATTTTCTCTGCAAGTTAATTACGTGTTATAAATAGATATTGTGTATAATGATTTTTAACATCAGTCTGAAAAATTCCTACAGAAATATGGCACAGTCAAACAAAGAGACTTTGGTAATGTCGCATTTCTTGGAAATTTTCTTTGCTGTATGAATCTATTATTCCGTAGCGAATATGATGGAATATCTGAAAAGATTCGGCAACATGATTGATAGCATGCTGAACAATATCGAATTAAGGGTTATTACGAATTGCATGAAAAATGGCTTCCACGAAAGCAGTTAAGTATTTTTTAATCTCATAAAACTTAATTCACATTTTAGTGTGAAATTAGATACTAATTTTGTTTAAAAAATACTTAAATATATTGCAATGATTTCATTATAGCCTCTTCTTTAACTAGCATGTGTATTTTACAAGAAAGCTTTACATACATTCTGTATGTTACTAAAATTAATCGCAATGCATAAAAAGCGAAATAGAAGTTATAATGAAATAGAGCCTACGATGTCAAAACCACGTTATCTTATATAGAGAGCTTTCAAGATGATAAATTGAGTTTCTATAAGAATAAGGTCATAATGCCGTAGGAGATAAGAGTCTTGAGTATGTCCACAAAGTCGCAGGAATTTTTATAAGTTGCAAAATTGTCATCATGTTACTATCAAACATTAGATAAGAAAAGTTGATATTGATTTATTCGTTCTCCTATAACAATATAAGAAAAGGCAAACTTTCAAAAGATTTGCCTAATTAATCAGATTCACCTTTTTTTATTTTTGAGTTCAAACTCAACTGTTTCCGACAAACTATTTATTTAATAAATATTTCTATTTTTCAAAGCTTCTTAGTAATTTCAGTAATTTTTTTCGTCGATAAGATTTTAGTTCTGTCTCGCTACCCCGCATTGTTCTGAACTTTAAGGTAAAGTTGCTCCGGGTGCTCACACTATCACCAAATTTCGTGCTGTAGATATTTAATAGAGCCTCTTACCCACATTTGCTATTTTCACTGTTGGACGTAAACCCATTTAGGTTGGTTTTTCTACTGGATACTGGATCTTTAGGAAAGCGAGTGAGAGGGAAAGTGTAATTAATTATAAAAATTGATGACGGCTGAAAGTTTTCCTCATGGTTGGTTTGTAGTGGTTGAAAATATGAATTTGAATGTTTGATATTTACTGGATATGAATTTTCGGATGTGGTTGCTTCTTGCTGTTGGTCCAACATGGTCCTGTCCATGTATATTTATGGTTAATATTTGTTCTTTTGTAGTTTTTAGATGTGTAATAAACGCAAGTGTCGTCAGCAAACAAAGCGATTTTGTGAAAGGTCTTCTGTGGCGCCAAAGGTATAAATGTTGTGATAGATTTTTTTGGTGAGTATCAACTGATTCAAGTCAATAATCAATGGCGTAGCGAGGGGTGGGCAAGAGGTGGAGTCGTGCCCCGAGCGCTACTCGTAAAGGGACGTCAAATCGTCGGCAAAACGAAACATTGCTGGATAATTTTTATTTTTATTATAATTGATAAAATCTAAAATATGTATTTTAGTGTCAGTGTAATACAGTCAATGTTAATTTGTAAGCAAAGAGGAAGAAAAGGAACACTAATAGTCTAAATCAAACTTTAAGCGAGTTTTCTCATATATCTGGAGTTCAACAAATAATAATGGAAAACAATCATGAGGCATTATTTGTAAATTGTGATAACCTTTCATTGAATTTAGTAGAAGTTACAGCAGCTAAACAAGATCCAATCGTTGTGACGTGTTTTGGAATAATTGAAAACATATATCTATATCTATTTTTCTAACGTTCAACGTTACGATGGGAAGTATTGAAAAATGCTTTAGCAAAAACCGTCAAACGTGAATCTGAAACACGATGGAGCGCCAGAATACAAGCGGTTAGCGTTATCGCCGATAGGCTGAAGAATATAAGGGAAATATTAGAAAAATTTGCAGAGGACACCACCACTAAAAGTGACACCAGAAGGGAAGCTTCTGTTGCAAAATATACTAACTTTAAGTTTTATAACTTTAGTTCATTTCCGGCATCAAATCTTAATGGGGATTCATCGTGTGTAGGTAGGTCAGATTACTTAAATAAATCTAAAACGCGGAGTAAGACAAGGCGAAACCATGTCGCCGAAACTTTTCAGTGCTGTATTAGAATATGCTGTAGAATCTCTTGAATGGGAGGACAAGGGAATTAACATCCATGGAGAATATCTCAGTAATCTCAGATTCGTTGATGACACAGTTATGATCTCAGACGATTTAGGAAAAATAGGAGATGTGTTAAGAGAACACGCAGCGGCAAAAAAGTGGGTCTTAGAATAAACTTTAATAAAACAAAATTAACTACAAACGGGACAAACATAGAAACAGCAGAAAAGTATGTGTATCTGTGTCATTAAATCAGTATCGGCAAGGATAACCAGACGAACAAGCTCAAAGCAGAATCTCCCTGGGATGGGCTGCTTTTGGACAGCTACGAAACGTCCTTAAAAGTGATATGCTGATCAGTCTAAAACCTAAAACTTTTAACACATATATACTACCGGTGCTCACATACGAAGCAGAAACTCTCACACTGACAAGGGCAACCTTTGCAAAATTACAGGTAGCACAAAGAAAAATGGAGATTGCACTGATAGGTGTGAGCCTGAGGGACAGAGTCCGAAATGAGGATTTAAGACGCAGAACGGGAGTGCAAGACATAATAGAAGGAATTACAAGGCTGAAATGGCGGTGTGATGGACATGTGGCTAGAGCAAGGGACGGGAGATGGTCGAAGAAATTGCTGGAATGGAGACCTCGAGATGACAAGAGAAGTGTAGGGAGACCGCCAGCCCGATTGGAACGGCGCAAGATAGAGAAAAATGTAAGACACTTGAGGAGGCTTCGTCGAGGGGCTGATGATGATGATGAGGCCAGATTACTAGATCCTAGAATGAATTTTAGAGAAGCATTCCAAGATTTTGAATTATTAGAGACTGAACTAGCCGAAATTTGAGACAAAATTTGTGAAGAGGCAATAGAAAGGCAAGTTCTTTGTGAACAATGGGATACTGATACAACAATACGTGTAAGAAGACGCCACAAAATGCCCGGAGAATTGGCTAGAAATGTTTATCTTCGGAGAAAGTGAAATTTCTCGCGTTATGTAAAGCGTTCTTGATCGCCTCCAATAAGAAAGGATGGTGAAAGACAGGATTTACACGCTTAAGTGACCTTAACTTCAAATTTGGATTTTTACTAGCTACGCTGAAAATTTATTGTTCTTCTCATAGTGCATCTCCTATCGGAGTTTTGGTGTCATCACAGCAATCCTTGCAAAATCTTCAACTATTATGACATTTTATGGCTATTTTGGTAAATACGTCGACATAATCGGATTTTTGTAAAAATGTCCATTTATTTCGAAAATTTCACACTTTAGGTATAGAAACATGATATATCGTTTCACAGGGAATTTAACAGTCTTTCCGTAATTTAACTAATATACAGGATGTTCTATTTGAAAACATGTAATTGGAACAGTTTGTATCTCTTGCCGAAAGGTCAGTATTTTCAAGACATCCTGGATTATTATAATTTGACACAAATTCCTGTACGCCGTACTCAAACAGGGTTTTCCTAACCCAGTACCACAATTTTAAATTTCCAGGTATATTCTTTGGGGCTACGTTTTGATTAAAAATAATAAATTTTATTTAATTTTTTGGGAAACCGCTTTAGATAGATATAGGAATCGTTATGCAAAAATAATAATATATAGACAATCTAACCGTGCAATAATATCCAGGGTGTCTCATTTAATATATCAAAGTTGTGTGTACTTTTTGGTATAAGCGACACCTTTGCATTTCTGAAAGTAATTTAGGCCGATAGAGCATATCCGATGACTTCGTTGTACAAATTTGCAGATAGATCGTGCATCGCATTATCCTTAAACGTTTAATCCGCCATCGACGGTGAATCACTCTGTATAAGTTTTGCAAGTACAAGTTAATGGTTTTTTAATGCTCTAAAAATACAGATCCAAAATTTTGTGTTACAAACTTAAAACAAAATTTCCATTGAAAATAGATATTTGTGACCAACAAAATTTGGCATTAACAAGTATTTTGACCGCAAGAAAACGATTAAACGTAGACTTTCAATTGCAAACTCATTCATCTAATCAAAGATAATATCATGGAATTGAGAGACACATAAATAAAATCAAACCGCAAATACTTGTCAAGTTTGTCAACACTGCAACTGTATGTATTTGCTTGTTACCCCTACAGACAACGTCGACTTGGAAAACGAAACTGATCCTTTTAAATCACCTTGTCTAAGCAATTAATGATAGTAATTAGTTTATTATTAAGAAGCAACTCAAATCAATATTTTAAAGCTAATTTCAAAAGTTTGCGCGTCAATATAATATAATATTGACAACGCATTACCAAAATTGAATTATTGTTTCAGTTGGATATACAAAAAAGGATGTTATTTATCGGTGGAATAACGCTCGACAAGTGGCAATAGCAGAAGATATGAAACTCTCACAGTTCGATCTTATCGATACTCCCGCAGGAAACCAATCGTATGCTGTTTTTGGGAGTTTTAAAAACTCCATATCAAAAGTACCGAGTAACCTGAATTCGCATTTAGGTGGGTGTTTAAAAGTTATGGAATTGTCTAATGTTTTTCAACAGTTTCTAGAGTGAAACTAGTTACATTCGAAACGTTTCGAAATTGATTACCAAAACTCTTATTTAAGCTGACTACAGACAAACAAAATATTTTTATTATAACCTATTTTCGTTCACATTTTAAATGTAATCGTGCTTCTAATTTATCGAATTGCCGATCATCAATTGAAGTTGATATTGAAAAGCTCCCATCAAATAATAAACGTTTACTGAATTTCAAATTAAAGCAAATCAAGAGTATTTGTATTACAGAAGTCATGCCATTAACCGGTGATTTCATTGTCTGCTTAATTGCTGATAGTGAAGTGGAAGTTGGAGCTAAATATTTGTATGGGATGCAATACAATATTAAATGTCGGCAACTGCTAATTTAATGCAACTGTTATTACCTAAGCTTTGCCAGCAATTTTCATAGAAAAATTGAAAGGCACAGAACGCTTTATCGAAATGCTTATCGAATTTTTATTTTAGATGAATACTCAATGCTTTTAGTGAGTTTCCATCTACAAAGACATATGGGCAACTTCCTTATACAAGTTTATGGTCCATGTGTTCTTTTAGTTGTCCTTTCATGGGTGTCGTTTTGGCTTAACAGGGAAGCAACGGCTGACAGAGTTTCTCTTGGTAAGTTTTATTAGTAACCTCCGTATTTTTGTTTCGAATAATAACGTATTCCATATGTAGGTATAACGACCGTTTTAACAATGACGTTCCTCGGACTGGAAGCACGAAAGGATCTACCAAAAGTTTCATACCCTACAGCATTAGATTATTTTGTTTTTCTATCGTTTTCTTTTATTTTTGCTACTATAATTCAGGTAAACGTATATATCTTTTTAAGTACACCTACACCAAAAAAATTAGAGATGCCTTGAATTTATCCAGCTGGGAAATGCAAAGTTAGTAGGTAACTAGAGACTTTTAGTAATAATGTTTAAAAACATTAAAAGTTGGTCCGGTGCCTAAAGAAAAATAATTTGTGTTAACCAAGCAACAATAATTTTAAAAAAGTAAATCAAAAGAAAAGTAGTACTACTTAATGTAAAACAATGCCAGTATTCCGAAACGGTCATTGCCTGACAAAAGAAATATTAATAGATATTTAAAAATCATAATCTAACTATGCCTGGAGATGTTCGGATGGCCAAGTTAGAAATGAGATCAACTATAAAATTTCTAACAGGCAAAATATGCGTGAACGTAGACGTGCTGAATAATTTAAATACAGGATACTTCCTGTTGACTTTTAAACCTGTTCCTGTGACCAGGTGGTCACTACCACATATAGGTTCTAGCAGATATTGTAATTAATATTGTAAAACGCTAAAGTTGACCAGAGAAAGCTTGTGGAAAAGAAGACTTACCAACTACGAAAATATCTAGCAGCCATAGAAGCCAAATTTCAACCGTTGATCATCCTAGAAAAATTGGACCTGAACCAACTATCGGCAACAATTGGTAATAGTATCCTAGTAGCAACAAAGAAGACCTGTCTGAGACTGCCCTTGGTCTGCTCGAGACCAAAGCCAATAAATTTTAAGTTCAGCCCTAAAACTTTGGAGCTTCCAAGTCAGAGAAGAAGAACAAATAGAGATTTCAACAAATACAGGGTGTCCCCGAATATGTGGGCATGCTTTCGGAAACATGACAAGTCGCTATGAAAAAAATTCCAGAGGGCCCCCTTATGGAGATACGGGACTCTAAAGGAGCCACCTGAGAATCGATTTTTTTTAAATATCTTTTAGAATTCTTCAAGCAATTTAATTATCTTTTCATACAATGAATAGTACATCATTGCTCTTAAGAAGGGCTCATGAAAACATTTTCAGTATTTCGGTTTGCCAGGTATGGACTAGGTGGAGCACAATAATAGTTAATTTTTTTATCCTTTACGAGCTACCTATATAATGTATTTATATAGCTCTAAACCTTAAACTAAAAAAAAGGCACTCTTGATTTTGGTTGGACGTTTTTCGAGGAAAAATATTTTTATTGGCATTTTATGTAACAATTTTCTATATAGGTTCAACATGGGCCCTTTCCGATATTATGCACTCCCTACATCGACAAATTGTAGATTTATGCGTTCTCCACAATGCTTGAACCTTGATTCTTGTTTGAAAAAAATAATTTTAAAATATATTCTTAGGTGGCTGTTTTAGAGGTCAGTATCTCCGTAGGAAGGCCCTCTGGAAATCGTTTTTAAAGAAATTTGTTATATTTTTTTAACGTCCCCTGTAAAAATCTGAGAGAGGGACAGGGAGACACTGTTTACGGAGTTGTGCTGAACAATAAACAAGGAAACTCGAAAAGACCTAAGGCATAACAGCCAGCTGGTACAACGCGCAATAGATAATAACTCAAGTTGAAATTTTAATAAGAGAAAAAAATTCAAAAAAAGTTTTCACTTGAGCATGTATTTTGCGTGGTCGTGTGCAAAGCCCGAAGGGTAGATTCGGTGAAGCGCCACTAGCTTTGGCAGCAAAGCTAAAACGCTCAGCGGTGGTATGCTGCCAAAATACCTACTTAAGAACTGATTGATATTATTTTATTTTTTTGGTGAGGTTTGGAAATGCTCTCTTACGCATACCCAAAGCTGATGATCTGGCGCTCTGGGCTGTGTGGGACTCCAGCCTAGCTGTTTACCCACTAAAACCTTTTCCTCACGTCCGAGGTGCTGTTTGGCCTACTGTGCCCTCGTATTTATCGCGGTCTTTTCTGCCCTACTGTGCCCTCGTATTTTACTCCCTCATTATCCCTGTGTATTCAATGAATCCTAGAAGAATCTTGAGGTGGGTACGACGCATGACCTGGTCTTTTATTCATCCCCGGCTGCAGCTAATCGATTATGCAAGCAGGTGACTATGAGTTCTCCCTGCTGAGTAGAAAAGTTCTTCTAAGGATATCTGACCGCCGCTATGGCCATCTTAATCCCGGAAACCGCAACCTTGCACGACTTGTGTGGTCCCTTCCTATAAGGACGTTCCCACACACAGTCGCCCAGGTGCTGGCTTGTTGGGTGTGCTGCAATCTGACCGGTGTCGCTTTTGCGTCACTGTCATGGCAGCTTTTTGGGATGTGCTGGTTCCCCGAGGGTCTATCTAGCACAGTTGTGGTGGTTTTTCCGCCTGGCGGCCCCCGAGAGTTTTTTTACCACCCTTCGGTACTTTGCCAGCTGCGGAGCCCGACGGTTCTTCTGAGGATGTCCCGTCGGTATTTTATAGTGGTGTTTTACTCCCCATAATTCCCACGAGAAGCTAGGGAAGGGTCCACCCACACAGACCCCCGCATGTGTGGTTAAGGCTGATACAATGAGGTGCGCGTGTTACCTCAAAGTTAGTCGCTATTGGCTGAGCTTTCCTCCAGCCTTGCATCTCTTGGCGAGCACTATATCGTGAGAATTTGGAGGTGTTATAGTGACCTGGTCACGTGATCCTTTTGACTTGCTATCTAATTTAAATACTTAATTTAATGCAACAAAAGGACCGTAAATTAAATGGAATGAAAGCCATACATGAAAATTCAATGAATGGCATTATAGTCGCCCAAACATCAGTGTCAAAGTTCCAAAATTCAGTGTCATTTCCGCTGCTGTTTTTGTCTACTTTTGGATCCGTCCGAGTTTCGAGGCATGTTTTTGGGTATCTTAGTTGTTTTGCGAGTGTAAAATGGCTCAACTTTACTCAACCTCTATCCTCGCAGAACCGGGTATCCCTCTGAGTCTGCTCTTTCTCCCTTGGTCTGTTAGACTAGGATGTCCCTACTAATAGTTATCCCACCGTCCATATAACTCCCGTCAAGGTGGAGATACATAGGGGGGCAAAGGTAATTAATTATGGAAATGCTGTTGATAAAACCTTCCTGATATTAGAGAAGTCTTAAAAGTTGAGGATCTGCTTAGTTAATAATAGTTAACAGTTGTAAGAGTGAAAGTAAATATACACAAGTTTTCATGTGGTAAAGCAAAATCTAAGATCTGGATAAACTGAAGAAAACTAAAAAAAAGAAAAAAAAAATTTAGTGTTATTTAAATTGTTCCTCAAATGAGCTTCCTTCGCTAAGCTTAATTGCTTGTCAAGTTTCCACGTGTATGTCGAATTAGCTATTAACTTTGCACATCGCCAGTCATCCCAAAAGCACAGAATTATTTTATTAATCGCACATTTGGAAGTAGATTTAAAAGTACTACATAGATAAAATAAAATATTTTTGTAACTCTCTTTAAGCTCAGGGAAGTTCTAGTGTTACTGACTAGTGCAAATTTTCCTAATACAGATTGAAATAGAGCATGCATAATAAAACGAAATATTTTTTAATCATTTATATATAGTTTGCAGTTGTTCATTACTTTACCAAATATGGGTCAGGAGAGTGCTACTTCAGCAGCGATTTTAGCTCCGATGAGTCGGACTCAGATGATGATTGGGAAACATGCGAAAAAATTGTTGTAAGTTTGTTTGTTATTTAAGAGAATATCAGTATAACATATCTTCAATTTTAAAATCTTAAAATGGTTGCACCATCCTGCAATCAATTGGCTTGATACATTATTGCACACGTTTTCTGTATTATCTTATTATATACTGGTGCAAAACACTGGTGTAGGGATTTTGATAAGATTGTTGAGATATCCTTCTTTAAATATTAAGTACTTGATGTGGACTTTCTTCAAAAGTTCATCAAGTTGTTTCTATAAAACTCAAAACGGTCTTAATTTCTACTTATCGCTATCATCTGTTCAATTGCGATCACTTTTACTTCGTTCGAAAACGTTTTAAGAAATAATTTACGAATGTGTTTAGTTTTTAGTGATGGGCTCAGTAAATAAATAGGAGTTAGTTCCTTTCAGATCGCGATTTTTGCACAATTCTGAGTGTTTGCTAAGAGAAACTTTCTAAACTGTGTGGAACTGTGTGAAATTTGTAATAATTTGTCCATCAGGGGCAAGGAGAACGACAAAATATTTTGCGCCAATTTTAGCTCGACTAAGACAGTCGAGCAAGCAGTAACCATCTTATAGCACCAGGATATTCTATCTATCATTTAAAATTGCTTGCAGGGAGTATAATTTGTACAACAACTGTAACCTAATAACTTGTATGTTATCATATAAGTTTATATAGCATACAGGGTGATTAAAAATTGGTGTCATTCCTTTTAAGCGTATACAGGGACCCACAACCTCAACGTATGTTATTGTCTCTTATTTTCTTTGCTTCATGTTTATCCATAGTCACCGGAGTTTTCATAATTACGTAAGGAACAGGAATTTACGAAATGTCAATTAAGCAGATTACCTTGAAAAATATTGTTGCCATCCTTCTGATCTAGGTTTTTGCAAATATGTCAGTTTTTAAAAACATTTAATTTTTTTTACTATTTTCTCTGTATTCCGAAGGCCTCCTCAGACAACACCTCCAGAGAAATGACGCCAATTTTGAATCAAGCTGTATGTGAAACAAGTACTTGTTTTCATTCGAGAAACGATATGAAATGAACACAATATTTAAAAAACTCTGGTTTTTAGAAAAAATTAAACGTAATAAAATGAAAAAAAACCAAGAGATTTAATTTTTGTTCATACAGTTATTCAAATGTTCCACCGAAAATTTATTATATTTTTTTTGAGCAATTTTTACTAAAATGCTGAAGCACATAACTATTGAAATTACTGTTCTACTTGCGATGATAGCATTAATTCTCAGCGACCCCAGCTATTGTTTTCAAATGGCATCATAGGTCATATTGGAGCTCTTTAGAGAAGATATTTTATTTTTTATTCAGTGCCATACAAAATTGGAATCGATTAATTTACTTTCTATCAAACTCACATAGTTAAATAATTTCTCCATACAAGACATGGCAAAAAGTTAAGAGATTTACAGCAATTAACCACAGTAGACTTGACAAATCAGTTTTGAGTACTGGAATTAAAAAAACATAATTTTTACACCAATTGCTAGTACATATTGAGTGAAAGAAAATGTTATTATTTGTGGAAGTTTGCCAATGAATGGCGGAAGTATCAAATGTCCATTAGTTGACGAAAGCTCTGATGAAGAATTAACAGCAGAAATCGTTAGATCCAATTTTCTATTTGAGGGGTTAAAAAAGGACCTAACAATTACACACTATTACAAAAGCAATTCATTTATTTAAACTAACAGATTTCTATATCTTACTAGAAGCGTTTCTCAATTATTAATGTGCTCTCACAAGAAGAGCCAATTCAACATGGTTTCGTTTGTGACTTGTAGATATTAACAACGGAATCAAGAATATGTTTGTTATTTAATTGCTTTATATAGTAGCCTAAGAATCCTATTGTGATCAACAGTGATTATATGATTTCATTATGTTGCAGAACATTAAAATGTACGGGGGATTTACATAAAGACCACAAGCTTCTAGCAACGAATTTAAATCCGCGTTTGCTAAGAATAGTCTATATCTAAATTAGGGACGGTACTAGTCCGAGTTTAGTATAGAGACTCTTAAAAAGAGTTCTCTACAAAGGTAATGTCGTTCAGAATCATCTTGAGAATGAAAGTAGTACATAAATCAGCACATAAGTACATGAATCACAAACACAATTTCACCAGTCATTGTTGGTAGTTATAACTAATAACAGAATTATTGAAGAAATGATAGGAAAGAAGAAACAAAAATATCAAAAATACCTGAACACAAGGCAACCAGAAGATCTATCAGAATATAAATAAGTACAAGCACTGGTGGGAAGGAAAATAAATGAAAAGAAAAACGATGTTTGGGAAAAAAGAGGCCAAATTTATTGAGTTTCTGTACAATTGACTGTTGAATAAATTGAAATGTCACCAATTAAACCACAAGAATTGGAACAGTAGTTTTAAGAACTACTCACGGAAAATAGTCAGGAATTCAAAGATATAAACGCATGGAACAACGCAGATAATACTAACGTCACCTAATCAGCTCTCAGAATAACAATAGGGGAAGTCAGAAATGTGTGCAAAGAGTTGAAAAGTCTCCGGGACCGGAAAAGATGCCGGGAGAGCTCCTCCAATATGCCACCGAAAGATTACACAAACATTTTCCAATTCTAAACCGGAAATGTATAGCTATATCGGAAATCCTTAAAGCGATGAACATATCACAGATTAGCCTAATATACAAAAAAGGAGGTTAGTTTAGATGCGCGAACTATCGACACATAGTGGTTGTCGATGAATGTTTAAGTGGATTGTATTTTTGTATTATTTTCTTCTTCGTGCGCGTCCCTATCTGAGATGGCACTCCCAACACCGACTTAAGTATATGAATGCACCCAACCGACGAATTAAAACCCGATTGTCGGCAAAATTAAAATGTGTATTGCTCAGAACGTTATTTCTACACACGTCTTGTTTGTTTTCCTTTTTCAATTCCCTTAGTTACTAGAAACAAATACAACTTAAAATAAGAAACTAATTCTCACATCGCCCCCTAGACTAACTTATGTGGTTGGCAGGAGAGACAACCAGATCTTATTTACTCATTTCCCAACATTCTCCCCCTCTTGAAGTAGCAGCTTCAACCGCTATTCAGAAGAATTCGAGAATCCGATTCAAACGGTAGAGGACTGACTTTAGTTGCTGACCTTGTAAATATTCCATTTTTAGTTTTAATTTTGATCACTCTTACTGTTCCATCAGATCCTGG